AGTGGGCTTTTTTTGTGCATTGTTGCAACTGTGTTTTCAGCAATATTTTCAATGTTTTAGTGGTTGAATTTCTGAAAAATCCCACCAAACCAGTACTTGAATATGGCACTGGAGGGACATGCTGAATTCTGGAGGTTTTTTAAGTGATCCTTTGTACAATTACTTTGTATGTACATTTCACTGTGGTGCTTCATGCTTGGGTGTCTGTTCCTGATCATAAAACACAGTATCAAAAACCTTTCAAAACATACTTCTGTCACCAATAGGAACCAGAATAACTTCTGTACAGTTTTAAGAGATTAGAAACAGGATGTTGAAGTGGTCACCATAATATTGTAAATATTTAAATTCTGGTGAAGTCCTGCTGTTAATTTTAATGTAAATGTATTTTCCCAGTATTATGAGCAATTTTGTTTCCCTTTTCTTTGCACCTGTCCCCTTGAGGATTAACTAATATGTTCAGGAGTGCCTGCTAACCACTTCAATATCATCCTCTACTGAGCTAAACCTGAGCAAAATCTTACATTAGTTATATCTTAGTGTTTTTCCTTTGTCAAGCAGGGTCTTGAATGTGCTGCACTGAAACTAATTTTGGGAAACTGATTGCCAGAGTTAGGCTGTCAAATATGAAAAGGTGACCCATCAACAGCTGCCTTACAATAATATCAAACACTCCTTTATATACATGCTGTTAGTCTTCATATAGTATCAGACTTACTTCCATGGTGACAAAGAAGTGATACAGTGTTTTTAGAAATGTTTTGCTGAATTCCTAGTAGCACTCACATCAGTCTTCTCTGCAAACTGGTGTGAGGAATAATGCTGGAGTATTAAATTCTGAAACGAGCAAACAAGAAGAAAATTATGTATGTATCTGTGCCATACAGTTTATCAAAGCCTCTTAAATCATAGCTCACTTAAGTTTTGTGAAGTTTTTCACAGTGTTCCCTATGACCTGCAGGTCGTATGTAAAAGGGAAGGGTGTTTGCTGGGCTGCCATTTAAAGATACGAAATTCAACCTGGTCTGTAGTTGCAAGCCAGGATCCTTTCCATGTTCAGCTTTTTTTCAGTAAACAGAATTTCTGCAGTACAGCAAGCTCCTTGACAGCTGTGGAAATAACCTGCTTTCCCCAGGAGGCTGGCATTGATGAAGCTGAGCAGGGCTTATTTCAGCTTCAGAATAAGTGGGATCCTGCCTAGTCATGTTAGCTGAGCTTGACACATCAAGGCCAACAACAACCAAAATAGGAAAATAAAGAAAGTTAGGATCTAGGGGACAGAGAAGGGCTAGAAGCAGGAGGACAAGTGGGACATGGTTAAACACAGATTAAAGTTGGCTCAGGCCTTACTTTGGGGTTATCATCCCTCCTGTGGTGTCCTTAAAAACACTCAAATTATGTTCAAAGTGCTTTTACTTTTGTGGAGCCTGATAGCTTAGCAGAAGTATAACAAAGTTTTCTTCTCTCCTTGAATTGAACTTTTAAATTTTTCCTTGTAATTGAAATAGTGATTTACTTTACCAAAAATACTACTTGCAACATCCAGTGCAGCTGGCTTGCAAACAAAGCCAAAGTTTAACAAATGGTGGGCAAAGAAGCAAAATGAAGTTCAAACAGCTACCAGTGTGTGCACTTTGGTTCTAGTTTGGGAAAGAACATTGCCTGTAGACATTCCAAGTATTTTATTATGTTATAAGAAGTCTACAAAACTGCTAGTTCCCCATCCAGCACCAGAAGTTTGTCAGAACTAGGTTTTGCCAGTGTTTTCGTTTAGAAATTACTTTCAAAAGCAAAAGGCTGTTTGCATGGGTGTTATAAGTTGCAGTTCAGTTGAAAGAGAAAAAAAATAGACCTTTAATATTCACTTTCGTAGTCCTTGATCTTCTGGGGGAATTCAATGCACGTTAAAGAAAATAAATAGCCCTTCGTATCCCTGGAAGCAAATGTCTGCAAGCTGTCTGGAAAGCTGGTGGCTCCTCAGCTGCTTGTAACTCTGCCTTCTATAATCTACAAGGAGGTTGGATTCGCCAGGTCAGTTGAAAAATTTTTGTGTGCATACTTTAAGAACCAGCATGATGCCATACTGGCTCAAAGCCCAGTGATTTGCAAATTTTGCTGCTAACTAGCAAGCGTCTTCAAAATCAGTTTGTCAATTTTTTTTTTCCACCTGTGCAGGATAATCTTGATAGAGACTGGTTCTCGGTGGTTGGTAGAGAAAGATACTTTAAAGAATTTCACTGTACATGGAGATTCATTCTGAACAGTATACCTGCAAAGGGTAAAAGTGGCTTAGAAATTCCATAGATTATTTCCTTGACATTTATTTAGTTAAGCTCTGTAGAAAGCCATCCCAAGTAACATACTGAATTACTTGGCAGGCTGAGACATCTGCTGGCACTTCCAAGGTAAGCTGCAGCAGTGAGGTTTCCTATTGCAACGTGCTGAAATCTCTCCAAAACATAATGGTATTTAGTAGTAAATGCAATTGTATAGAGATGAAACTGTATGAAATTCAAGATTGCAGGCTTTGTCTTCAAAAAGCTTAAGGGTCTGTGCTCCTGCAAAAGTTTTATAGCAAGACTGAGGGCTATTATTAGCAGTGCTGCACCTGCAAAGAAAAGGAGCTGACAGAAGAGTGAAACCAGATTCTGGACTTCAGTGCAACATATTATTATGAAAACTCTATATGCACTTCATCAGTGTCAGTCCCATTGGAAATTGGATTTAGGTGTGTAATTGATATGCTTAAAAGCCTTCTAATGGTAATTCAATGCTTTAAACTATGTGCTTGGTTTGCTTAGCATTTTGCATGAAGTGCCTCATTTTATGCATATTAGACTTTGTATTACACCTTTGTGCCTATTTGATTATTCAGGAATAGTTGGAGCTGACTCTTAATCATCCCTCCCATGTTACAATAATCTGAAAACTTAATGATTTTGCATACTGATAGCTTTGTCTAAGTTGTTAATAAATTAGCACCCTCAGGGACCAAGCCATACGGACTTCCACAGAATGTATGCCTTGACTTTCTTCCCTTTCTGCTTTTCACCCCACTAAACAATTGCTGTTACTTGCTGTAATTTACTCCCTGACTCTGTGGCTAGTCTGTCTTTTATGTCTCCTTCATCCAACCTCTAAGCTCTTACTTGACAGCTACAGCTGTCAAGTCTTCTGGTACTTTAGATGAATGATAAAATTCAAAAGCCTTGTAATTCAGCCTCCCCCTCTTTATACTCCTATTCGTGTGGTTCCCTTGTGATTGCTCAAGAAGTGGTTTTGATATGTCCTCGCCAAATAGGATGAGAATCTGGAAGATGGAATGAAATTTAAATTGCAGCTCTGGGTTGAGTTCCCTAAAAATAGCAGGAAAATTGTTGTAGACTTTGTCCAAGCAAAGCAAAGTCTAGATTATTGAAAATGCATGAACTAGCTTACAGAGAAGGTGGTGTAGCCTACCAAAGGTGAGTCTTAGTAGTAGGGTAGTAGCTGTAAAGTACAGGGAATGAGGGAAATAACCATAAAGAAATGAAAGAAACAAACCTGTTTGTTGGTTGATAGGTTTTGTTTGTTTGTTTTTTAACTCGCATTCAAACCTAGAAATCCTGTGAATACATTTTCAGGGAAGGTTAAGAGTCCTTTACTTTAGTAAAAGGCCTACTGACTTTCAGTAAGGAAAATAGTATTTCAAGTCATAAAATAGAGCTCAAAGATTAGGTACATGACCAGCACCTGTTTAATTCTGAGGAGGTCTTTGGTTCATCCAACATCAGGAACTGGGGTCGTCAGCATCCAAAACGATTGCTGTGTAAATGCCATATTTGCATCCTGTTACGGTTATTGAGGCATGTCTATGGGGGACAAAATACAAGGTTTGCAGGCAACAGTGGTATATTTTACTAGGCCAGTTGGTACTGCTGGAAAATTAGAGAAGTTTTGTGGATACACAAAGTTGTGTTTGGTCTGAAACAGCTGTTCAGGCAGTGACTGTGCAGTAACCAGAAGCAGATATTGATGTGTGTGTTCATCAGTCCACTGAACTCCTGATAGGGAGTGGTGTAACTTGTGGCTAGGGAGTAATTATAGTACTCTGAAACAGGATTTCAGAGTTAGTGCAAAGGGCTTGCAGAGCAATTATGATTGTTAAGGAGGAATGAATGAGCACAAGTTACTTATTTACTGTGAGGTAAGGTGGCATATAGAGAAAGGTTGGTGCACTTCTTAGGGGCTAATGTTATTCCTGGCACCCATGCCACATCCCAGGTTGATTCACTTCAGACTCTTTAAGGCAGGGGTGTCTCTATCACATTTAAAGAACAAGGATACAGATTTTTTTTATACAGGCCGTGGAATGACAATTAAAAGCTTGTGTTGCCCTTCAAAATACTGTTTCACAAAAATGCGCAGAATTGCAGATGGGATTTTTAACAAACTATAATGATTGCTTTTTGACATGTACAGCAGACGATTCTGTCTTCTACCTGTTGACTTCTGCAACACTGTCTTGTGTTTTTTGGGTTGTTTTTTTTTTTTTTTTCTTCTAAATTATTTGATCTTGCCAAGTGTTTATTACACTTGATATGCTGACAAGCTGAACTGGGGGATTTGTAAGTGATACATTTCTGAAATGTATGTCCGTTTATCAGTATGAGTGAAGTGATGCTTCACAGTAGCATTGGTGTTATATAAAATCCCACCAAGTGTTGGTTCTAAACATATAGATATATATATAGTGAATACTATAGTAGAAGTATTTAATTCTGTGTCAGTAGCTTTTCATCAAGGAAGACAAAAATAGATATCCATGCCTATCTGTTATTAGCTGTGTTTTTCTGCTCCGGAATAAATAAATGTTTTCTGCAATGTCAAAGGATAGCTATAAAATTATGTGATAACTTTACTGAAACTTGGTCTTTGGTCTTTCCAGACTTCTTTTATCTGGGATTTCCAGATGTGTTATGCTGACTTTTTTTTTTTTTTTTTCTCTTTCAGATGACGACGTAGACCTGGAAGCTTTGGTAAATGACATGAATTCCTCATTTGAAAGTTTATACTCTACATGCAGTATGCAGTCAGAAACCACTCCACTCCTCCAAAATGGTCAGCTCAGCCGCAGTCAGTTGCCATCCTCAGGACCTGGCCCACTGCAGCCCGTGTCTCCAAGGCAGAAGGTGCAGCGGTCTCAGCCAGTGCGCATTATGGCAGTCAGGTAGGAACAATGGACTTGCTTCCTTTTTGTTAAAGCTCTCTTCAACTAGCTTCAAAAGAACTACATTTGAAAATAGGAGAGCAACTTCAGTAGGAACCTAGCAGTGTTAGACTGGACTTTTGCATTGGAAAAAAGATGTACCAGGTAGGTGAAGGACATAAATTTTCCATGTATTTTGAAAAATAAGAAACGTCACTTTTTTGCCCTTTTTAAAATCAGTGTTTGGTGTACCTGTAGTAGCAGATATGTAGAAACATATCATTGGTACCAATGTGTAGAAATTAAGTCCATAGCTGGATTCATTTCCAAACTGTTCACTCAGGTATGGTGCCTACTGACAGCTTCTTGGTTTTATAAAAACATAAGAGATTGTGTAAGTGGATGAGGGTGCATTCAGCTAGTTTTGACACACAAAAAGTACCTCCTATGTGGAGGTTTCTTGAGTGGTTCAAGACAAAAAAGGAGCACTTCATAGTTATTTGACTTTTTCCTAGAGCATTTTTAGCTCTTTCACTTGAGTGCATTATATGAGTCATCACAAAAAAAGGGTGTGTTTGAGTTGTCTGTCAGGATGGGCACATGAATTCAATCTTTAAGTGCAATACTCTTGGTGATGGAAGAGGCTATAGGTGATGCTGATGTTCTTAAAATCTTTTTAGGTAGCTGGAGGAAAAGAGCTCCTGTCAACATGACTTGGTAAATTGCCAGAATCAGAGAAATGTGAAGTTTCACTTCTGTTTAACAATGCCTTCTCCAAAGGAAGTGACAACTAATAATAATAATAAAAGAAAAATCCCAGTTGTGGAAAAGGTGGCTTGTAATTCTTTATGCTGATGTATTTCTTATGGGAATGGTATTCTTAAGACAGGCAGCATTTCTGGATGAATGGGTAGTATGCAGTAACTGCAGTACAACTGATTCAGCTAATGGTGCAATCATTTTTACAAGTATTCCATATTTAACCTTGAACGGGGCTGTACTAGAAAATGCACTCTCTAGAGCACTATAAATGTTGATGTTTTGTAAATACCTCAATTGAAGCACTTAATATAAACTTTTTGGAGTTTCGAAACTTAGAAGCTCTTGAGAAAACTCTGCTTTTCTGAACTCTGTACTTCCATATGCACAAGAACATCGTGTGTTTATCATTACAGAAAACAGTGACAAAACTTTTATTCAGGGTTATCTAGGACCCTTTCGTGTGGAAGGGGATGACAGAACAGAATGGTTGACTGTGGTAATTCTCTAAGAGCACAGTTTTGTGTGTGTATCACTCATGAAGTAAATGATGCACTGAAGCAGTATGAGCAGAGCACAGCATAGTGAATTCTCATTTAAAGAAAAACACACCTTTCTAATTGTGTCAAGTCTGTAGTTCCACTTACTGTAATGGCAGTAAGTAAAAAACTTGCACTGTTACTCATCTGCCAATACAACAAATCTGGGCTGAAGAGATCTTGCACTGTCCTTTTCCTTTACCCTGTGAAGTAGGGAAGTAGTACCAAAATAAAAATAAATGAATCGAGCAAGTCAGGTAGTTGGTTACATGGCTCATACTTTGTTTGAGTCCAGCTATTTATAGCAAAACCCCAAATCTGTAAGACTCACTGTTGGAACACTAAAACAACTACATTACAGGCTAAAGCTACCTGCAGAGCAGATTTCTTAGTAGTTATTTGATCAGCCCCAGGTTGTGGTACAGGCAGAGGCAGTGAGTGTCCTCAAGGGTGGGATACACTGCCAGAGGCAAGCCCAGTGGTTGTCTCCCAGACAGGTCTGTTAAGAAGTCTCTGCTTGCTGAAGGGGTGGGAATAAATGAGAGCAAATCGAGTTCTTAATGATTTGTGTGTTAAATGCAGGAGTTAGTTGGTTGTCTCTGGAAACTTCCAAGGTTGCCACTAGATGGTGCCTTCTGCAAAGGTGTTGCAGGCCAGAGTCCCCTACAGTCCTACATCTTCAGTGGGGATGCTCTCCAGCAGCAGGGAAACCTAAAGCAATCTTTGTGGTCATGAATAAGTCTTAGATCTTCTCAAGCTTTTCTGTGGTAACTGGTAGGCTTTAGTTTTCCTTTCGTTTGTGTGGGCAGTATAGGTGTATTATAAACTGGAACTTAAACCTCTGTTGGTGCTGCGTAAACCTGTGAGGTGTAGGAGATTCAAATTTGTCTGAACAGTAACTGTACAACTAGCATAAGGTGGGAGGGTGTAATTTCAGTTTATTGCTCAAGCTGAGTCTTTACATTTCCATTTCTCCAGGAAATGCTCAGTTGCTTGGGGATGGAATCTGGTGTTTTAATGAAGTGACAATATTGGTTTCAGTCTCAGCTTAGAGACTTTACACAAATGAAGGGCTCAAAGTGACTGCAGTTTTGTTGTTCTTTCATGATGCTTTGGAAGAGCTTAACTGACTTTCTGGCACACAGAGCTTAAGCTTGTAAGCCAGTGCATATAACAGAGAGCACAGACTAATATTTCTGTCTTATTTTATTTGCACAGTTACTTCAGATATTCACCCAAGTAATCAAGTTATAAACAACAGAACAAGCATAGATGCCTGTCTGGTCATTTTTCACATGCAATTACCTACTTTGTGCTTTGCAGTTGTTTTTTTTAAGAGTGGTTTTGTTTCCTTTTCATTAGCATCAGTATTGTAAATGGTGGAGGAGGAGATCCAGGTCTAGTGATGCGAGTTTGCTCCTCTTAATGCTTAGTGCTTCTGTGTTTATAGGCGTCTTCAAGAAGAAGAACAGCAATTCAGAACATCATCTCTGCCGGCCATCCCAAATCCCTTCCCAGAGCTTTGTAGTCCTGCAAGCTCTCCAGTACTGGCCCCTGGATCTTTACCTCAGAGTCAACCTGCTAGTAAGCATGTGAGTATGGGCCAAAGCTTTGGGTTGTCCATTTGTGTTCAAACTGGCAGTGGACTATTTGATTTTGAAGGCAGAAAGAAAGTATCAATATGAGTAGAAACACTTTTGGACTTTGTGAGAAGGGTAGCACTGGCCAAGAGTGGGTCTTCAGTCTTCAGACCTTTTTTAAAAGGTTTATAAGTATGAAGTGTAAAACTTAAGCATGTCTCTGAGATACATGCATGTTATGAATGAAGTGGTAATGCCTAATATCTTTCAGATTTTGTTATCCAAGGTAATGACTTACTAATTCAGAAGTCGAGTTAATTAGCTGAGAGCTGGGGGAGGGTCTGTACATATGCTGCATATTCTAGGTGTCGCAGAGACACTGAACAGCTGTCTGTTTTCTTTAAGAACATGGTGCTGTTTTCTTTTGCTGTTTTTAATGAAGCTGCTTAAAAAGCAAAATAATGTTCTTGGAGCATGTTACTAGGCACAGCTCCTTGTAATGGGATTTCAGAGGAGAATTGGCCCATGGAAAGCTGATTGACCCGCTCTCTGGGTTTTTGGCAGTGAAGATAGCACAGACTGAGCTCTCAAGTGGTCCAGAGCAATAACCTCAGTGACACTGTGAACAGTTTTTCTTCTCTATCCCATTCCACGCTCTGTGAGAAACAGTCATCTTGTCTTCTGTCAGTCCTGGGGCATGTTTGAAGACTAAAGATAGTCTCAAAAACCTTTATTTTGTAAACTCTGCTGACTTGCATGGGGATCAAAAGACGGATTGCTCTAACTATTGGCTTAGAACAGTTGTGTGCTTGAGTACCCAAAAATATATGGATGTTCTGTGTCATTGCTCAGTTACTTTGTAACCAGCTCCTACACCTGCTCTGGCTGATAAAAGGGTTTGTGTGGGTCGTTCAGCTACAAGCAGTAGACCTTAATGTAGACTCTCGCATCTTCGGTATTGCTTTATGTTGGCATAAACAGCTGCCTGCTTTCTTGAAACACACAGTGAATCTTCATTGGTTTTACTGCATTTCCTATATGTACAAGTAAGGCAGACAACCAAATAATGCCCTATGAAAACATTGTGTCATTCAGTTGGGAATTCAGTAAGACTTCATCAGATGCCTGGGTACTGGCTAAGCAGAGAGGCTGATTTGCCAAGGCAGTGCTAATCTGACTCAGGGGAGACAAAACAGGGGCAGTTCCCTTTTGCCTCCTGGCATTTGCCAACACGGTAGCAGCAGCACAGCTGCCTTTATGGAGCAAACTGAGGTTGCTGATGAACCTGTGCTTATGTTTCCAGATACTCCCGTTTCAGGGATTCTTTGGCTTTTAGCTTTATATTTTACTAAAATTAACCAACTCTTCTCCCCCTCTACTCTGAACTAGTAAAACCACATCTGGAGTATTGTGTCCAGTTCTGGGCTTCCCAGTTCAAGAGGGACAAGGATATGCTGGAAAGAGTCCAACAGAGAGCTATGAGGATGATTAAGGGACCAAAACATCTGTCACATGATGAAAGGTTGTGAGAGATCTAGGGCTGTTTAGTCTTGAGAAAAGAAGACTGAATGGGGACCTTATTAATGTTTATAAATATCTGAAGGGTGGATGTCAAGAATGGGCCACTCTCTTTTCAGTGGTGCCCTGTGATAGGACGAGGGGAAACAGCACCAAGTTACAACACAGGAAGTTCCTCAACATCAGGAAAAAACATTCTTTACAGTGACAGAGCACTGGAACAAGCTGCCCACAGGGGCTGTGGAGTCTCCTTCTCTGGAGACCTTCACAATCTGTCTGGATGTGTTCCTGTGTGATCTGCCCTAGGTA